TGACACAGTAAACTTTCACTACATGCTAGTTATTATAAATGTTAACACTTAGACTACATCTAGCTATAATCCATTCTTCGTGCAGGCTTTTCCGTGAAAAATGTTTCCAGTGACAGCTTTAGTAATCGCAATATATTTTCTCCAAGTTTCACTGTAGTTGTCAATGATCTTGTCATATTTTTACCCCACTGGTGTTCAGAACTTCAAAAGGAGAAAAAACAAAAACAATGGGCATCATCTTGTTTTATGTAGCGTGCCATGCATTTCAGTTGTGGGATAGTCTTAATGTGTGTCTTTGACCATGTTAATGTAATGGACATATTATGAGTCAATTGAAGAAATGGAAATAATTAGGTTTTTCTTCTTTCCTTAGGAAGACTATGATCGTCTGAGGCCTTTATCTTATCCAATGACTGATGTCTTTCTTATATGCTTCTCTGTGGTGAATCCAGCCTCATTTCAAAATGTGAAAGAGGAATGGGTACCAGAACTTAAGGAATACGCACCAAATGTACCTTTCTTATTAATAGGAACTCAGGTATGTCTGCTTTGATCTTACCCTTTTAAGAAAACGCTATCTGGTCTATCTTGTGGTGTTGCTCTCAGACCAATGGTCCTAAGGTTTAACAAATGATACGTGTGTTTAAGCTCAGTTGTAAGTGATGAGAAAATCTATTACATTTTTTTTTTTGAAAATGTAGTGCTGAAAGAAAGCAATTATCTTAGTTGGTTTAAAAAGTTAAGATCCTTTGTTTAATCTTTTACTGGTATGTGGGAATTAAGTGGGGCTCCATGCTTGGATTCATCTTTAAAGATTTGTAATTATATGGGACATTATTGACCTTTCTTCATTAGATTGATCTCCGCGATGACCCCAAAACTTTAGCAAGACTGAATGATATGAAAGAAAAGCCTATATGTGTGGAACAAGGACAGAAACTAGCAAAAGAGGTAATGGAACCCTTACAGAATTTATAAGTACGTGTAAACGCAGCTCAAGTAATACTAGAAGCTGACATTTACTGTTTACTTACTGTATGTGCTGAGCGCTTTCCATGCATTATCTCATTTAATCCTTGCACTGAGTCAGAGGTAGGTCTGAGGAGTTCCCTGTTATAAAGAACAGAAAATGGAGGTGTGGTGATGTCAGGTAACTTGCAAGGTCCCATAGGTAATAGCGGCAGAGTTGGGCTTCAGTCAAGGCCTGACTCCAGAGCCATAGTCTTATACCACCAACAGTATTTTCTTACTAAGTCATGTGTAGCTAGAGGCATTATAAAAAGGTGCTGATCTTTAAGCCTTTCTTAATCACTTAAATATCTGTACTGTGCCAGATCAGGCTCTGTCATCGGTTAACACCAGTAGATAGTGCAGTGACATCTGGCAACAGATTAAATCTGCAATTAAAAACAAAAATGATGGCTAGGTTTGAAATAAACGAGTCGAATTTTCTTCCAATCTTTTAATGAAAGATATGAAATAGCAGCATTCTAAAAAAGATCTAACTGTGATACACGTAATATCTTTTAACTTGTATTTTTCCTCATCCCAAAGCTAGGCTTACTTTTTTCTCTATTGGATCCAAACATTATTGGGTTCTATTTTTTTGATGTGACCTTAATAGGACTTTGGTGGAAACAGATTCTAGTAAGTTCCTTTAAAAATGTACTCTCAGGAGGCAGAAGAAAGCAAGAAAACTTTTGGGAGGACAATTTTTCCTAAAGCAGAAGATAAATAGCTTCACTAACAAATCACTTTAGAAATTTCATGTATTCATTTTGTAATCTTGGGGAGAGAAGGAATTTCTAAATGAGAAAAAGGTAAAAGTCATAAATCAAAATATTGATGATTTAGCTACATAAAAATTTAACACATCAAATGCCAGGAATAAAATTAAAAGTCATGTAACAAACTTGATACATATGACAGAAAATGGGATTAATATCCTTAGTACACAGGAACCCCTTGCATAGGAATTAATCAGAAAAAAAATTATATGCCCAATAGAAAAGTGAACTAAGAACATCAATGAAAAATTCACCAAAAAATGCAGATAGAAGATAGAAAATTCCTTAATAGTTGGCTGAAACTGGTTTGGCTCAGTAGATAGAGCATCGGTCTGCAGACTGAAAGGTCCCAAGTTCGATTCCGGTCAAGGGCATGTACCTTGGTTGCGGGCACATCCCCATAAAGGGGTATGCAAGAGGCAGCTGATCAATGATTCTCTCTCATCGATGTTTCTAACTCTCTATCCCTCTCTCTTCCTCTCTGTAAAAAAAAAAAAAATCAATAAATATATTTTTAAAAATTACTTAGTAGTCAAATGTAAGTTCGAGTTTCACCTATAAAGTTGGCCAAAAAAAAGAGAGAAATGAATTACAATAACCCCTGCCAGAAACGGACACTCTATTGTACTGTTGATCATTGAGTAAAAGCAGTCTTGATGATATGCAAAAGCCTTAAAGTCATGGACACTCTTGTTCAAGCAATTCCATATGTTGGAATTTATCCTAAGGAAATTATTTGGATGTTCTTAAAGAGATGGCTACAAGTTGCTGCATTGTTTATAAAGGCAAAAAAATAAAAAGAAAAAAACTGCATCTATTAAAATTTTATACTAATATATCCATTGAGATGTTCAAATTTATTATGTAGTTTAAGAAAATAAAAAGTGGTTGCAAAACAATCTGATCCCATTTTTAGGCCTCTCAGCAGCATTTGGCACAGTTGGTTCCTTCATGAAATACTTGCACTTGGCTTCCTTGAATGCTCTCTCTTTGGTTTTTCTCTCTGCTTGTCAGCCTCTCCTCTATCCCTTCATCTCCCTGACTCAGAATGATGGAGGGCCCAGGGATCAGCGTTCAACTTCTTAGACATTTTTTCTTCTATTCCACATTCTCCAGGCTTAGGTGAGCTTCTATCAGTCTTGTGGTTTAAACAATCTTCTACTGAAGACCCCCAAATTTCTATCTCCAGCCTGAAACTCTTCCTTAAACTCTAGTCATGGTTATCCAACCATTCATCCAACAAGTCCATCTTGGTGGCTAAACATCTCAAAATTAACATGTCCAGAACAATTCCTGATTTTACCCTTTAAGCTTGTCCTCCCAGTTACTCAGGTCAAAATCCTTGAAGTCACAGTTGACCTTGCTGTTCTTACATAATGCTCTACCTCCATAATATATTCAGAATCCAAATTCTCCACCTCTTCTATCAGTCAGGTTTGGGCTCCTCTATATCTGGCCTGATTACTGAGTTTCTATTGATAACCCACCTTTCCATTTCTCTCTGTGCCCCGGGTTAATCTGTGCTCAACACAATATCCCGAGGAGTCTTAAAAGCCCCATCAGATCACTGTTCTGCTCGGGCTCCCAGCTCACGGTCAAGGCAGAGACCTCACTGTGGCCCCTGATACCTCTCCGCCTACTCAGGCACGTGAGCTCCTTGCTATTCCCTTCTGTCTCAGGGCTTGGAATTTTGCTGCTCTTCTCTGCCTGGAATGTTCTTCCCTCTGGAACATTATTCTATCTCCTTTCAGATCTCTGCTCACTTTGTCAATGAGACTTTGCCTGATTTTATCCCTACTCGTTCCCTATCTTGCTTCTCCATTTTTCTGCAGACCACATAATACCCTGTGACATTCTACCTCTGTATTCATTAATTCATGGTCTACTCCCTCTAAAATGGAACCTTTATGACTAGAGACCTTTTTGTTTCTTGCTATATTCTCTCATTTGGCAAATAAAAGTGCTCATTACATTTTCAATGAATGAATGAATGGGTTTCCCCCAGTGTAGAAGCCAAAGCCTTTAGAGTGGCCTCAACGCCACCTCACTGACCTCATCTCTTGCCATCCACCACTCTCCCCCGACCTGCACTCACTCTTTCCTGCCATTGTGGCTTCTTTAGCATTCCCGGGTCTCTCCAAGCAAGCTCCTCCATCAGGGCCTTTGCACCAGGGCTCCATCTGCCTAGAATGCTGCCTTTAGTTATCCCTCACTGCTCAGACTTCGCCTGGTAGAGCTTTCCCTGACCATCAGCACCGCCCTCTGCTCTCCCCATCTTCCTCACTCTGCTTTCCTTTTCTCCAGAGCATGTGCCACCGTCCCTTTGTCGTCGTCCCCCCCCCCCCCCCCCCCCCGAACGTAAGCAAATGTAAGCATCACACAGCAGGAACTTGGCTCGATTGTTCAGTTCATTGACAGTATCCCCAGCACCTAAAGCAGTACTTGGCATAGGGTAGGTACCCAGTAAATATTTGATGAAAGAATTATTCCCAAAATGTCTGGAAGGATATATACTAATAATTTAACAGTTAGTTATCTTTGAGTATTTTGATTTCATTCTTTTTGCATTGCTATATTTTTTATATTCCTTATAATGGTGTCTGGGTCATACCAGTTGTGGAAAAATTTTTTTTATGCATTTGTATTTGTTCTCTTTCTCCCTTCCAGATAGGAGCGTGCTGTTATGTGGAATGTTCAGCTTTAACCCAGAAGGGATTGAAGACTGTTTTCGATGAGGCTATCATAGCCATTTTAACTCCAAAGAAACACACAGTAAAAAAAAGAATAGGATCAAGATGTATAAACTGTTGTTTGATTACGTGAGAAACATCTTCAGTGGCCAACGAAACTGTCCATTTCTAAGAAAGCATATGAAATGCTACAGCTATACCCAGACCTCTTATAAATACTGAAGCAGTTTAAAACTTGAATGAAAAACAACCCTGTCCTCAGAATTCTATAAAGTTCATTAAGAATGTTTCTTAAAGGTCCAAGAAGCAGCAAACAGCATCTGAAGCCACAATCTAATATAAATACTTTATTTCAACTAGAAGGTACAATCTCTCAGGGGTTTCATAGTTTAAAAAGCTACAATCACATCATGTAACTACATAAAAAAAACAGTGCTGTAAATGGGACTGCCTGGCTTAGACCATATACATTTCTGCACAGTCTTTATGGAATATGCACACACAAAATCTTCCTTTGTTCCAATTAATTGTTCTTGTATGTAAGCTGCTTTCTATTCCAGTATATCCAGAGAGGTGAAATGACGAGGCCAGCCACGTAGCCAAAGGTCGCTCCGAGCGTGCAGGAGATGGGCCACACCTGAGGAGAGAATGTATGAGGTCAAGAGAACAAATGTTTTATTATTACTTGAGCACAAGTGAAGTGTAAACTAAATATTTCTATATTAAAGCTTAATGTGCTTTCTTAAAGAATGCCAAAAGTGTAATAAGGTCATAACTGCATTTATCACGAACACTAAAAAAATGTACATGTTTTAGTTAATGTGCATTCAACTGTAACAAGGCTTTTGGCGACTGTAGATTTAGTTTGATACTCCCCAACTGCATGAGACACATGCTAAAATTACAAATTAAAATTTTGGGTCAGACTTTGCCATAATCTTGGACTCAATTTAGCTCTCTGAAGTTGGTCATTTTGTTTGTGAATTTTCACATTGGCTTGTATATCAAATGAAATGAGAAGTGTGTATGACAACCAAACCATACGAAACTTTAAATTGTATTAAGGAGAAATGACCTAGAATTCAAGCATGTTACATGCAATTTATAACAAAGCAATTGCTTCCATTATAAAACTGTTACCTTTCAGGTAAATATTGGAACCCTAGTAGAAGTTACAGAACTACAACTTAAGTCAAACACCCAGAGTGTAAGTTAAACAAAATACCGGCTTTCAGAACCCATTCTGTTCCAGCCATGTTACATTTCACAATATTACACCAAGCCAGAAGTAAATAATGTTCATTTATTCCATCTACAAACAGTACATGTTGGTCCCTAGGTGAAAGGCCCTATTTTTAAAAACTTCTTCATGCTACCTTTGAAGCTTATTTGGCATACTTGAGCCACTTCCAACCTGGGGGAAGAGGCTATAGAACTGTTAGAGGTGAACCATCTTAATGACCATCTGTTACCTATTTAACTTCCTGCTGTGGATCTGCCTTATTCCACACACCATGCAACAGACAACAGAGTTAGAGTTTCAGTGTGAACAAACCAATGCAGTTCAGAAAGGCATAATCTCATCCATGCATTTCCCCCCAGCCTTTTCTACATTTAAACTTGCTGTTGCCTAAATTATGATTTTATGTCTTTGGTAGGCTCCTGTTAATTTCTATGACTTGAGCTTATAGCTATGTCTATTGCATAGATTGGTTAATGGAACATTAAACTTTTATACTTGAAAACGACAGCCTTAAATACTCGTATCAGTCACAAATCTAGGATGCACTGGCTTATCTGTGAGGTTTGTAGAGGTTTTTTAAAAATATAAGCATCATCTTCCACCTTGAAGAGTGGAGAGTCTACTGGGTCACTAGTCAGGAGCTTTCTCTCAGAACTGGACAGTGCATGTCTTCTTTCTCCCACCAAGCGGTAGTTCTCATTAAGTACCATGGCCTTATGTATGCTTACAGGAATCTCATGTAATGTTCTCATTTACTTTTGGTTTGCTGGTTTTAGATAGAACTGAAAGGAATTGTATAAATCAATTAGTATATTACCTTAAGTTGTCCAACACATGGTATAAAGGAATTAAGACAGTAAAGTATTATGCATTTCCAACCGTCTTTGGGGATTTGATAGGAATTTTTTCCCCCCCTCAAACTCACATCTCTGGAATTCTTCACACTTGGTTTTGTTTTACTAGCCAATGAAAGTTAAAATCTAGAATTTGTCCTACCCTAGGAGGAACAGACTTAGGAATCTGGAAACACAATTCTGTTATCACCTGTTTCATGAACAGGCCTCAGTTTCCTCATCTATAAATATAGATGTAGAACAGATACTCTCCAATGTCACTCACTTTTATCAACTCTTATGATTCTCTTCTTCACAATTATAATGGTTGGCCATTACCTTTTCAGCTTCACCATTATTTTTATTTTCAGCTTCTCATTCTTAAGGTGGTACAATCTTGTGCACAGATTATTAGAACTTTAAGCAAAGATGATTGTATCATCCGAACCTGAGGTGCCTTAGGTACTCTATTGACCTTGATGGGGTTTGGAGTTTCCCATTGCTTATTAAGAGCCTTTTCATTTCTTTGGTTCTTATTTCTTTTTGCAAAATCCTTCCTGCCACTTTACCTAAAAACCAAAGATTTGTTTTCTAGTCATTTGTTTTCAGATTGTAGAAAATTGCCTTCTTTCCAGAAACACATCTTCATTAGGTCTTCATAGAAATTCAGACTAGTCACTGAACAACTAATTCAAGGAAATGAAATATCTGGGAAATAAAATATTTCAAAAATCTTAGTGACTTGAATTTTATTAGTGAGTGCAAATACACTGCTTCAAATAAGATCACGTATGAAAGAACTTACACTTAGTTAACATTTTTTGTATATAATCAGTTCTGATGTTCTTAAAAGTAATTCTAGTGGCTTCCTGAAATCTTATTTAACACTTTGCTAACTTATCCCTCATTCTATCTCTAAAGGTATATTTTAGGTTACTAGCCGATTTCGAATTACCATATTTCCATAAGCAGAGCCTGAATTATGGTTTTTATTGTGAATTATCTTAGTTACTTTAGACATTGCTTCCATTTGATTTTTAATTATTAATATTAATTTTAAGTACCAAATTAAATACTGGTTTGTCGGTTGTTGCTTTTTAAGTGATTGTTAATTTAACAGTGTCCCATCTTAACACATGGGGTTGCAAATAAAATAACATGCATAGTTTACTAAATATGTAAAGCATTGAACTTCTTACCTTAGTAGTGTTAATTTAACACCCTGTGTAAACATTTGGAATAATACTCTTTCCTCTGTTTCTCATGCTGTGTCTATTCATCATTGGCCAAGTGTAAGCATCTGCACTTTGTTAAAAAGCATGCTGTCCAAGAATAGGGAGAAATATAATCCCTTGGGAATTCCAGCCAAATTCCAATCTGGGTTACTAAATTCTATTTTAATCACTTTGTAATTTCAGTGTGGCTCTTTGTTTCTAAATACATACAGACATTTGCACACACATTCTTTAAGCAGTTGCTGTACATCACCTCCGGTGGAATGCCAGAAATGAAATGTCAGTTAATAAGTTTTGTCTAACGAGGGGGCAAAGCTTCTTGAACATTTATTAAATGTCTCAAGAAATCTATGCCTTCAGCAAATTAAAATGTTGGACTGGCTGTAAGATTGTTTCCTAGTGATGGATCAGGCTTTCTTGAGTGGTCCTTAATTGTAACATGGTCATTTTTTTAAAGAGAATTTCTTTTTACAAGGGTAACTTACCTGATTTTTGTAGACCATTATAGGGAATGGCAAATGGAGTAGTTGAAGGGAGTTGGGAGAAGTTGCCCACTAATAGTGGTTTTTTTCTCAAGCAATTTCTTATTAACCTTTTTACAATTATTTTTTTTAATGTAAACCTATACTATGGCAACAGAATTTATATTAACCTGTCAAATAATCCTATCTTAATCATGTATTTCATACCTAGATCTTGAAGTTTATATGTAAAACTATTTACTTGTCTCACATATAGAGATGTTTCTATTTAACATTCTTCATGCCTAAAAGGACCAAAAACAACAATGCATTGTCATCTACTGAACAGAAGATTCAACTGCATTGCTACAAATATTTCTCCAAATTGTAGTAATCTGAGATGGCTATGTATAATTATATTTTGTTTAAGGAAAACAGAAAACTCAAAGACATCCATGTAAAGGAAGTCATTCACAAGTCTTTGCTACCAAAACGATGGTCAACTTTTTATTAAAGTTAAAATTTTTTTTTAAATCATGAAATAGAAGCCCCCTGTTGCATAACAAAGATAATATAATCCACGTAGGTAAAATTATTAAAATTAACGTTGCAGGGGAGGTTGTGGAGGGGTAGAGGTGGAAGAGAGTATAAGGAGGAGCAATGGTGATGGAAAAAAATAAAGGAAAAACAAGCAAAAAAAAAAAAAACATTAAAAAAATGAACAGTTACATCATGTGAAGAAAATGTCTTACTTAGTATTATCCTCTATACCAAATAATTCATATTTTTCACCAGTTAAAAAAGGTCAGTGTTGCCTTAAAATAATCAGCTTTAACAATAGCCTAATAGTTTAGGTTCTAGGTACATGGCATCTGGAAATTTCATCCTTATAAAAAATTTATTAATAAATAAGTTATAATTTTGTGTTTTCTCTTAAAAACTAATATATTTCTGGTTGAAAGAAGCTTCAAAATTATACAAGCTTTTTCCCATCTGAAGACACATGCCTCTTTCTGATCAGGCATTATTACTGTAGAACCCTGCTTACATTTTTAGGAAAGTGAAATGTGTTAATATACCTATGTAGTGTTTGATTTTTTTTAATTGATATTTTTCTTTTAGGGAGAGAGAGAGAGAGAGAGAGAGAGAGAGAGAGAGACATTGATCAGTTGCCTTCTGCACTCGGCCTGACCAGGGATTGAACCTGCAACCTGCGTATGTGCCCTGACTGGAAATCGAACCCACAACCATTTCAATGTACAAGACGACACCCCAACGAACTGAGCCACACCCCCAGGACTTATTTGATATTTTCAAAGTATGTTCTGAGTAGTACAGAATAGGGATTATGAACACTGATTTTTGTATTAGACTGAATGAGTCTCAACTTTGCCACTTGTTAAATATGTGACTCTGGGCAAGTCACCTAATCGTTATGTGCCTTGTAAAATGAGGATCATCACAAAACTCACCTGGGGTTGCTGTAATGACTAAAGGAGAGAATGCACTACACGGAATTTACAGCCATACCTGTAACATTATCTGGCACACAGTACAAGTGATTAATACATGTGAGCTGTACTTGATGATAATCTTTTAATTCATATTCCTAGTGGGTACATACAGGATGGGGCAAAAGTAGGTTTACAGTTTTTTGTTTGTGAATAACACAATAATGATAAATAATAAGAATAAACTTTCACGAACTCACAACTTAAACCTACTTTCGCCCCACCCTGTAAAAGTTTTTACAATACAGAAAATTGTCCTTCCCCAAATCTCTACAGCTGAGATTTCTAAAGCTGTTTCTATTTAAAAAACAAGGTCCTGCCCAAATTTTAAGTACTTTAAAAATAAATTTTTAAAATGACATCTAACAGAATTCATGCTTCCTGGTCAAACACTATCCAGATATATCATATATATACGAAGTGCCTATAATTCCAGGGGCTCACAGGCCTCTGAAGCCCATCTATGGACTCCTGGTTAAAAATCCCATCGCTCTAACAAGTATTTTTACTAACTGTTGTGGTTGGCCAAAGAAATATAATGACCCTTTACATTTTTTGTTTCCCCATTTTAAGGATCATTTTCAGTGCTATAGATAGCATTTGTCTGTTGTTCTGTGATAGAGAGTAAACAATTTTAATACATTTTACTTAACTATAAGATGCACAATATTATTTAGGTCCTTTTAGTATATATTAAGTACAAATATATGTTTAACTTTGTAATGTCAATAAAGTGATACCTACACTTTCTGATACTCAATGTAACAGCTAGTTTGATATGTCACTGACTGGCAGGGTATAAGCTACAGTTTTCCTAAAGTGGTGATCTGTATTTATTAGGTAATTATGATTATATAATTATGATTTTTGTTGAAACTAGTTATAAATACTCAACAGAAAGTTTTGAAATAATTACACAAAAACATTAGGCTACTTTAAGAAATACTTCCTATTTTACTTTGCTTTTCTGGGAAGGAGCATGGGACAGTGGGCTGAGAAAGTTCTGAGTCTGCAGTACCAGGTCAGCCATTTATTGTCTGTATAACCCCGACCAGGTCACTGAACACCTGAACCTCAATATCTCAATGTGCAAGGCAAGAATAACAGCACCTCTTGTACTTACAACAGGGGGCTATTGTATTTAATAAAATAGTATTTTAAAACTGTCATGAAAGTTGTAAAGTACCATGCATTGGTATAATTCACATGCCCTATCTTGAAAAAGTAAACTTATGTGATCAATAATGTAAGTATTTCTTAGGTAAATGACACTGCTAGGTAATAATTAGAACCAGCATTTAGAACAAATAAATTTGTTCATGAGCAGGGCAATACCCTGCTGTAGGAACCATCCCCTTGCCCTTGCAATATTAATACATTTTTAATACATGCTATTCTTTACATGAGATGTCTGGAGAGAATAAAGTTTACGAGAGAACACACACTTCATTCATTGTATTACTATACTAGAGGCCCGATGCACAAAATTCGGGCAGAGTAGGTCTTCCTTCCCCCGGCTGCCAGCACCAGCTTCCCTCTAGCACCCAAGATCCGGGCTTCCCTCCGGACCAGCTTCATCCAGAAGGACATCTGAAATGATGCCCAGAAGGACATCTGGTCTAATTAATATATTACCCTTTTATTATTATAGGTGCACCCCCCCTTAAAAAAAAGGGGGGGGGGAGGATTCCTGCTCTGAGTTGTCATTTTTATAAGTTTAAGAGTCTAAGTACAGAAATTGGTTCTACACCAATCAAGGGAGACATCTGTTATTCTTAAGAGTGTCATATGTATGACTCCATTCATTCCTAACTATTGAGCCTCTACTATAAACCAAGGTACAAACTAAGATTATTTCATTCAGGATATTTTAAAAATCTGTGTTGCAATCTACACTAATAAAAAGAGAAAGATGTAAACTGACCATATCTTCATGACACCCACCAGCCAATCAGGAGTGAGTATGCAAATTAACCCAATGATGCCCCAGCCACTCCAAAAAGATGCCCCAGCAGCTCCTGGCCTCTGGGCAGCGTGGAAAGGTGGAAAGGTGGCTCTGGGCTGAAGCGAAGGCTGTGCCGGCAGACGGGAAGGAAGGCCCATTCTTGCATGAATCTTCATGCATCAGGCCTCCAGTATAATTATAATTTTTGGAGAGATATATGTCATCACAGATATCATGGGGAAACCACCCTATCTGCAGATCAGAGGACCTAGAACACTTAGAACAAAGCAACAACCAATGGGATTACTAGCTCTTTCAGATAAAAAGGGAAGATTAAACCCAGGTAGCCAGTTCTAAATTTCTCACAAGTTGTTTTTTAATGTTTTTATTTATTGTGCTGATCACAAATTTGCATTTGCATGATAATTTATCTTTCAAAACCTGCTAACACTTCTACTGGTTTTAAATGACCATTTATATGATAGTGATATTTTTCCAGATGTTCCTAAAGCAAATGCTATTGTCCGATGTAGGAATACATACAGATGATCTACCAAGGTGGACATATTTCTCTAGTTGTAAATCTGCACTGATCCATGTATACTCTACCACTCTCCTATGCCTAACAGTACACACCTGGGAACAGCTGTCTTTAGTGAGATGTGTAGTCTCCAGTCTGGAACTTTTTGTCAAAGTGATGCTAAATGGTTCTTACTAAGATCATACAAATGAGTTACTTTGTCCGGCACTATTCTCTCTCACATTGAAAGTCCTGCGTGCAGAGCACTGTCAACAAGACTGCCTTACAATGAACCCACCTTTTAAATCTAAAACCATTTTCTAGCCCTGGCTGGTTTGGCTCAGTGGATAGTGTCATAGGCCTGTGGACCAAGGTGTCCTGGGTTCAATTTCAGTCAAGGGCATGTACCTCGGTTGCAGGCTCCTCCCCAGCCCAGGCCCTGTTCAGGGCTTGTGCAGGAGGCAACCAATCAATGTCTTTCTCTCACATCAGTATTTCTCTCTATCTCTCCCTCTCTCTTCCACTCTTTCTAAAATCAATGGAAAAATATACTCGAGTAAGAATTAAAAAATAAACAAACAAAACCATTTTCTATCAGTTAAGTATTGTAGTTTTTTAATCCATGCTTGGAATGTGGCATATTCACATAAGTTAGTATTTTATTTTGGTCTATCTAAAACATTGCTTAATAAAAAAAAAATAATAAAAAAAAATAAAACATTGCTTAATACCTTTGCTAATGGAAATACCATGTAAACTAAAAACAGGCTACTTTTCAACAATTCCATAATCTTAATTCATCCCTCATGCTAGCATTATTTGTAGTAATTCACTTAGTTATAATCCCTAGCTTCAATTTATGAAAAATTATCTGTAGCATCTCTGACTGTGAAAAATGAATATGTTTCCCAAATATTAAATTTTTAACCTAATAAAACCAGAGAAAACAAAAAGGATTTTAAAATATAACAATGCTTCATTTATCTGATATATGATGGGAATAAGTACGAATGTTTTAAAAATAACTTTAAATTGTTTTAAAGACAATCTCAATTAATTTTGCTTTTTAAAAAAATATATTTTATTGATTTTTAACAGAGTTTCAGAAAGGGAGAGAGATAGAGAGCTAGAAACATCAATGAGAGAGAAACATTGACCAGCTGCCCCCACCCCCTACTGGGGATGTGCCCGCAACCAACGTAAATGCCTTGACCGTAATGGAACCTGGGACCTTTCAGTCCGCAGACCGACGCTCTACCACTGAGCCAAACTGGTTTCGGCTAAGTTTGCTTTTTAAGAAATAAGTATGCTCAGGAGAGATTTGATTATCTGGTTTAATTCCATTTTGGAGTTAGCATTAAAGACAAAGTTTAAAGGCATCTAAGTGGCTGGATATTTGGATAATTTTTCTTTGTAATTTTTCTTTGTAACTATAATTTTTCTTTGTAACTATTAATATTGCTTAGTTTTTCTAAATACAGTATATATACAGTCTCTGTAATCAGAAAAAAAACTTTCTTCATGTTGGAAAAAGAAAAAATATATATTTTTAAAAGCACAATTCCATTTAGGGGAAATTATCTTAAGAATATAATTGGGAAAATGTGTGAAGATACAGAGTCAAAGATGTTTATGATAACACTGTTTATAATAGTGAAATATTGACAATAACCTAAATGGTCAATAGTGAGTTTGTTAAATAAATTTTAGAATAACTATAAAATGGCATACTACTAAGCCATTGAAAATTAAATGATATATGCCTTACTAGCTCAGTGAACTTTAAAGTATTATATATCTTCTTGGTACCAGTTTCCTCATCTGAAATATGGGGATAACACTTATCTCATAGTGCTTGGCGTATTTAGCCAAATCCTATTGGGACAGTAAACGAAAACCCTGATGTTAATGAGCTTCCATCTATATCATGCACCCCTTTTAAAAAGCCCACTTTGCTACATGCTTTTAAAAAATATTTCAAGATCAACATAATTTGGCCATCAGTCACATTAACAAAAATATGACTCTAAGGCCACAAAGGCAATGAATATCAATGTTAAAAACAGGGAATTCCTGCAACTTCTAGCTTATTTTTTTAAAACTAAACTTGTTTATTCACCTGTATATGTAGGAAAAACAAACAAGCAAACAAACAAACAAAAAACTACAGTGCTGGAAGATAAACTGTCATTGCTACTTAATTGAACATAACAATTTACATCAATAAATATGTTAGCATCATCAGTTTTATCATTGTAAAAACATTTATCTTTCAGCTTTAGGTAGCTAAAACCAACCTGCCATGGTCTTTCCCAATCGAGTGGAATAGGAAAGGCTCCAAGCCACGATCCTAGAAAACTAGAGATTGTGGTGATCTGGAGACTATTCTCCCAAATGGATGTAACTCTGTAAAACACAAACATGTAAATTGTTGGTGGAATATATCTTAGCTGCTGCAGAATATAACAAACAGAAGCACAAGTTAACAATGCATACATACTCTGTTCATTTAAAATAGGCACCAAAAATATTTACCATGAACTATTAACAATCGGCGAGAAGAAAGCATTTTTCAGTTGAAAAGCTAACACATGCACACAATGTAAGTCAGACAAAATGAGAGTGCATTTGCAGTGAAATCTAAGTCTTCCTCCCACCCCTATCACTCCTGGTTCCTTTCCTCAGAAGCAACTGCTCCGCCATCACCTTGTAAATCCCCTTAGCTTCTCAGTGATTTTGACTCTCCTGCTTTCTAGATTCCAACAGTTCCTCTTTCTATTTTCCTTTTTTTTGAAAGTATCTCCTTCAATGGATTCCTGAGAAAGGGTCCATGGAAAATAGATTTTAGAGATGTTTTATGTCAGAAAATGATTTGACTAAAATTTTTGGAAATCATTTCTCTCAGGATTTTGAAGGCATTGCTCCATTGTTTTGATTCCCACCTGAGAAGTTCAGTGTCCTTCTGGCTCCCAGACTTCTCTGGGGAACATGTTTTTCTCACCACCATCTTCTGGGACCTTTTAGAATAATCTATTACTGGTTATCTAAAATTTCACAATAGCTGAAACCGGTTTGGCTCAGTGGATACAGCGTTGGTCTGCAGACTGAAAGGTCCCAGGTTCGATTCAGGTCAAGGGCATGTACATTGGTTGCAGGCACATCCCCAGTAGAGGGTGTGCAGGAGGCAGCTGGTCGATGTTTCTCTCTCATCGATGTTTCTGACTATCCCTCTCTCTTCCTCTCTGTAAAAACACCAATAAAATATATTTTAAAAATAAATAAAATAAAATGTGTCTTGAAGTACCTGTCTTCTCATATATTAATGCTGGAAATACATGGGCCTTCTTAATCCACAATCCCAGGTCTTAAAATTTCCTTTACTTAAAGACTTGCGTTTTCGACCCAGATCCCACTGTATTAATTCCTATTGCTTATATTAATTTTTATAAATATATTAATGAATAAATATATTTATTCTGTAACCCCAATTCATTCAATTATTTTCTTGATATAGTGGGCCTCTTGATATACAAACTGAATAATTACTTCATTTGGGAAAACTGTCTTCTACTTTTGAATTATTTTTTTTTTTACAATGTACATTTTAGGTGCACTAATTCATCTTAAGTTTATTTTCTTTGTCTGTTCCCTATTTATTATTTCTTCTTGAACTGGTTTATTCTTCCAAACCCTCTCTCCACCTCTCATTTATTTTGATTAACTCAAATCTTTTCTCCATGCTGGAACTTGATTTTCTAATTTGTCTGTTTCTAACTTACAATTAATAGTGTGGTTTGGATTCTCAATTTATTTCATTAATTTGGAATCTTCACCTCATTTTGTTTTGTTATCTCATCTTTGAGCTCTTATTTAATTAAATTCATATCCTTAATGACATTTTTCTATGGTAAATATGTAATATATATATTTGGTAAATATGTAATTCTATGGTAAATATGTAATATATATTTGTATATATATATATTTTATATATATATATTTTGTTGTTGTTGTTGTTGTTGTTGTTGTTGTTCTGTGGGTAGTATTTTCTTCTAAGCTGGATTCTTTGTCTTCTGCATGCCTTTTTCTTCTTTTTCTATAGTGTGTTTTTAAGGTTACCATGCCTTTTTTTCACCTTTCTCACACTTCACAAGGGCAGGCTACCACACCATCTATTTGCTCAGATGCAATGAGTGAATTATCTTTGAAGCTGTTATTCCATCTTAATTGGTACCAATTTTTCCTGTCTCGAAGCTGCATTCTGAGGTTTGTATGTTATTTTCTATCCAGTTTTCTGTAACATGGAGGAGAGACTGGGGGGAAGGGAAATGCTATCTACAGTTTAATCAGTAATAGCTGAAATTTAATAAATGATCATTCCATAAGTCAAATTAAAAAAATTTTTGACTGGGGCTTATACATCCCATTAGAAATCCAATGGAGCTACTGTAGCACAGTCTGCTCTCTCGGCAAAGGCCCCTTGGCAGAGCCCACTATGCAGCAGCCCCAGTAGATTGGTAAAAGTAAATAGCTCTGCCCTGGCTGGTGGCTCAGTTAGTTGGAGCATCATTCCATACACAAAGGATCATGGGTTCAATTTCCTGTCAGGGCACATACCTAGATTGTGGGTTTGATCCCCAGTCAGGGTGCATATGGAAGGCAACAAATCGATGTTTCTCTTTCTCTCTGTTTCCTCCCCTTCCCCAATCTAAAATCAAAAAAACATATCCTTGGGTGAGAAGTAAAAAAAAAGAAGTAAAAAAAAGTAAACGGTATTGATGGGGATTCAGTGAAACCATTACTCTTATGTGTAAGTATGTATGTGTACACTCTCTAATACCTTCATCTAGAAAATTCCCATATTTGTATATATACTTATATATACACTAGGGGCCTGGTGCATGAATTCATGCACCAGTGAGGTCCCTTGGCCTGGCCTGTGAGATCAGGCCCGCTCTCAGACATCCCCCGAGGGATCCCAGATTGCGAGAGGGCACAGGCCAGGCTGAGGGACCCCATTGGTGCACAATTGGGGCTGGGGAGGGATGTGTGAGGTTGGCCAGCCAGGGAGGGGCTGCGGGAGGGCTTCAGGGCATGTCCAGCCCATCTCACTCAGTCCTGATCCCCAGTAGCAAGCTAACCTACCGGTCAGATGATCTGCCTCCTGGTGGTCAGTGCATATCATAGTGGCTGGTCAACTGTCTGCCCCCTGGTGGTTAGTGAATGTCATAGCGACTGGTCAACGGGTCAATTATCTGCCCCATGGTGGTCAGTGCACCTCATAGAGAGCAGTTGAGCAGCTTTAGCATGTCATTAGCATATTACCCTTTGATTGAACAGATGACTGGACAACCAGACACTTAGCATACTAGGCTTTTATTATACAGGATAAATATGTATTATATATACCTATTCTTCACATCAGAACTTTAGCAGTGTCTATCAATTTCTTTTTAAAAATATATTTTTAAATTTATTTCAGAGAGAGGAAAGGAAAGGGAGAGGTAGAAATATCAATGATGAGAGGAAAGCATCGATTGGCCACCTCCTGCATGCCCAACACTGGGGATCCAGCCTGCAACCCGGGCATGTGGAATTGAACCATGACCTCCTGGTTCATAGATTGATGCTCAACCACTGAGCTATGCCAGCCTGGCTCTATCAACTTCTTTTGATCTAGGAATTCTATTCCAGAAATCTAGTCTACAGAAACACTTGCACAAGTACTAAACAAAATTAAGTAGTACAAAGATGTTCATAACAATATCATAAAAATATGGTAATAACCTCAATAGCAAACTAGTTATAGAAACTTTATGTAATATTGTAATAATGATTAACTGCCCAACATACATCTCATCCCTGATGATTAGAATAATTAAATAATGGCAATCCCATTCTCCTTCCCAATGATTAGTTTAGGAAAACTAAAGGATCAGAGCTGCTACCATTTTACCACTAGCCCAATAATGAGAACCAGGAGTTCAGCCATACCTTGACTATCTGGTATCTAGAACCACACAACCTGCTATGTGACATAATCAGTTTCCTTATTGTTCACACCAATATAAGCTGAAGTTTTCCACTGTTTATAGGTTAAGATATACTAAGTAAGAATACTATGCAAGAAGATGTAGATATAATGAAAGACATTTCTAAATACCAATTGGTTTTTTTTTTTTTGGTTTTTTTTTTTTGTGTGGGTACTGCAGAAGAACCAGATCTTTGAATTTTAAAAAGATTTTTGCTTAACAGTGAACATTTAAGAAGGCCAACTCTAACATTAACAAGTTAACCTATCAAGTTAATTATTTCCTAAGTAATTTAAAATTTGACATGCTCTTTATTCTAAATTCTTAAAATGTAATAAAAGTGCTAGGGGAAAGGTGAACTATCACTAATTTATGATGGAAACAAGAAGACTTAAGTTCCCCTCTTAAGAAAAAGTTCAAGTTAATTTTATACTCAATGAACTGAAAAACTGTTCCTCCTTCTCCATGGTTGCACTCCTGGGTCTTTACCTGAACCAAGAAGAGCTACTAAGACAAACAAACTGGAAGTCTGAGTTATAAAAATGCTCCCTGACATTTGTTAATCCACTGGACAAACATTTCTTGAGCACTTACTATTTGATTTCACTCGTTTCATCAGTTCTGACAATAATCCCGAAAAGTACAAATTTATTATTCTAATATTATACATGAGGCTCTGTAAAGTTAAATAGCTTGTCTAACATCATTGGCCAGTAGTGAAGACAGGGTAGAAACTCGTTTAATGATCCTCAACAAGTGGAGTCTTCTAAAAATTTCTACACCATCGGATGATGCGGATTGAAGTCACATCTCTACCTCTTTCTGGCTATTGGACTTTGGTGAGTCACTTAACCTGTTAACTTTCCAATACCTTCATCTAGAAAATAATGAAATAGGAGTATCTCACTAAACTACTGTAAGAATTAAATGCTATAACATATATGAAAATGCTTTAGAAGTTATTAAAGTATTTTTGCATATATCTATTTCATGCCATGCCGTGTGATGTTAAAGAAAATGTTTTATCTAATCATCCGAGAGATGCAAATCAAAACGACAATGTGGTACCATCTCACACCTGTCAGAATGGCTATCATCAACAAATCAACAAACAACAGTGCTAGCGAGGATACAGAGAAAAAGAAACCCTTGTGCACTGCTGGTGGAAATGCAGACTGGTGCAGCCACAGTGAAGAACAGTATGGAATTTCCTCAAAAAACTAAAAATGGAACTCCCATTTGACTCAGTGATCCTACTCTAGGAATATATCCCAAGAAACTAGAAACACCAGTTAGAAAGGACATATGCACCCCTATGTTCATAGCAGCACAATTTACAATAGCTAAAATTTGGAAACAGACTAAGTGCCCATCAGCAGATGAGTGGATTAAAAAACTGTGGTGCATCTACACAATTAAATACTACACTGAGGTTAAAAAAAAAAAAAAAAAAAAAAAAAGAGTTCTTACCATTTGCAACAACAGCATGGATAGAACTGGAGAGCATTATACTAAGTGAAATAAGCCAGGCAGAGAAAGATAAATATCACATGATCTCACTTATTTATGGAATATAATGAACAACATAAACTTATGAACAAAAATAGATCCAGAGACAAAGAAACATTGATCAGACCATTAAATCTCAGAGGGTAGGTAGGGAAAAATGGGGGTAAGAGGGAGAGATCAACCAAAGGACTTGCATGCATGCATATAGTAAGCCTAACTAATGGACACAGACAACAGGGGGGTGAGGACATGAGGGGAGGGATAGAAGGGGTAATGGGGGAATAAGGACACATATGTAACACCGTAATCAATAAAGAAATTATATTACAAATTGATTATTTTTAGTCATAGTTTTCTAGCAACTGAACTGTTATCTGATTGTATGTTAGAAATTTTAGAAGGATATTTTTGTAGTCTACAAAAAGTTAGGTGACATTAGAAAAACCTAACAGATTATTGATACAGATCTAACTTTCAATTACTAAAAAGTAAGTTAAGTATTGGCAAAATCCTACTCATTTAAAATTTTCATTTTGACTATGTAATACATGAATATAGTTCAAATTCAAAAGATACCAAAGGGTAGTCAGTGTTAAGTCTCCTTATCTTGTCTTCTAGCTTCTCAGATTCCCTCTCCAGAGTCAATGGATGCTATATTAGTTTTTTTATGTGTTCTTTCAAAGGTATACAGGTATATTTATTCCATCCTAAAACTTTTTACATAAATAGCTTCTTATACACATTTCTTCACCTTGTTCTTTTCCACTTAACAGCATTTTAATAAATAAAGACTTGATTTTTTAACAACTGTCTAGTATTCCCTGGAGTAAATTAAATGTGATCCTTCGTATCAAAGGACATTCAAACTATTTTTAAAGCTGTCTGGAATAATCTATAATAATATTTTTTTTAAATATATTTTATTGATTTTTCTTACAGAGAGGAAAGGAGAGAGATAGAGAGCTAGAAACGTCGATGACAGAGAAACATCGACCAGCTGCCTCTTGCACACCCCCTACCGGGGATGTGCCCGCAACCAATGTACATGCCCTTGACCAGAATCGAACCTGGGACCTTTCAGTCTGCAGACCGACGCTCTACCACTGAGCCAAACCGGTTTCGGCTATAGTTAATATTTTACAGGTATGCCAATATATCTATGATAATATCCTAGAAGTAGAATTACTGGGTCAAAGTTATTATAACTTGTAAGAGACAACTATTCCCACACCTATTTGCAAAAGCAAATTTCAGGGTTTTTCCCAAGGAAATATGCTACATTTATCACAATATTTATGTATTTCTTAACATGTCTAACATGTATAAAACCGTACTACCATTTTTATTAAGTTCTCACCTTTCTTTGTGTTTTTTATTGCCCAAGTTTGTATAGTACAGGGATTTTTCAGACTGCATATGCCATATTATAGCAGGAATCAGATGTCTCCCCCCAATACACTATTTCAGAAACAAAATTCAAAGCTGGATAAGTCACCAAACAAAACCAATAAGATTTCAACCAGTTTCCCCTGTTTAAAATTTTCTAACTAAAATGCTAAAAGAAGTCAATGCCATTTGGGATACTGTGGTAACAAATGGGGAAGCGTTTTCAATAATTACACTTTTGTTTTCTAGAGGTATTATGAACACTAGATGGTTCTAAAAGGGGGAAAAAACAGCATTCATTTCAAAAACAGAAATCAGTAATTTATGGAGCCTCGATACCCATCAGGCATCCTCTGCTCTAGCTGGGTTGTTCTCTCTTAAATCCCACAAAAATACCATGTTCATTTCAGTTTCTACTGTTTCCTCCATGCCGTTAGCATGGGGTGTTTTTCCCTTTCCCCTCCCCAAATCTCATACTCCTGATCCAAGTCCTTCACAGATCATCCCACCTCCAACTCATTCTTCAGTGGTCTCCTACTCCTCTGGGCTCTTACAGTACTTACTGTCTGATTTTCATAATTCTAGCCTCACACTGTTTGCTCATTTCATTCTTGTCCCGTGAACATAGAAGGGACAGGGAGAGAATCATGGCTGACACTTCAGAATTCACACACGTATACAAAAAATGAATCCACACAGAGCTTGCATCACATGCCACAGAGTAAGAAGAGCTCAAGAGTTTTTGCTGCTGAATGATAAACAGGACAAAATTATGGGCAGCAAGGAACTTCCTAGTTTTATTAGTTATGACTCAACCATTTCCCCCCCAACCATTTCTGATACAAATCATCTCAATGCCTTTCAAGAAGCTAAAATTTTAATTTAGTTATGCTGAAAATATATATGGCTGCTAAGGAAGTAAAATCCTGTAAAACTTGCACTAAGATGTCATATTACAAAAGAGGCTAAGCAAGAAATGGCAGTTGTGACACTAAACATTTTTATTTATTTTTATTTTTTAAAAATATATTTTATTGATTTTTTTACAGAGAGGAAGAGAGAGAGATAGAGTTAGAAACATCGATGAGAGAGAATCATCAATCAGCTGCCTCTTGCACACCCCCTACTGGGAGTGTGCCCGCAACCAAGGTACATGCCCTTGACCGGAATTGAACCCGGGACCCTTCTGTCTGCAGACAGACGCTCTATTCACTGAGCCAAATAGGTTTCGGTTAAACATTTTTAGATTGGCTCCAATTCTACATTATAATACATAAGGAAGCAACTTTATCTGTCATAATTTTATCACAGTGACAAATTATCCTTGAGGAGTGGTTACCTTTGGTGGCAGAAAACCTTTTTCAAACAAAAGGCTAAGTGGAATTCTACCATATAGAAAATGCAGAGCTGATCTTGCTAAAGCAGAGGGAGGGGCCTGTAGTTCTGCCAGCTTGGATCTCCCTTAAGTGCATACAATTCCTTCTCTCTCCAGTCCCCAACTGCAGTGGGCCCTTAATGCATTTCTGAGAACCATACAGAGCTGAGAAACACTCATGAAATAATCAGCTAGCCGCCATGATAGAAAAGTTTTTTCAAATCACTAAAATATAAAATTAAAACTTACCCGTTTCTACTGAAAACTCTTAGCCATGCTTTGATGTTTGGTCCTAACAAACACAAACAAGGTACAGTAGTAAAAGTAGACAAGATCACTGCAAATAAAAATGTTTCCAACACTAGCCTAGGAAAAAGAAACGTCATTAGTTTTTTTTAAAGTATTAAAGCAGCACGTATGCACATATACGTAATCTTTGTTACTTAAATGGATTTAATATAATAATATTTTCTTGTACTGTCCTTTGAAAGGTAACTTGAGTCCTACGAAATGATGAGTATAAAAAATGTAAACTATAAAAAATAATCTACCAAATATCTGGCTTTAATTGTAGAATGCAGAAGTGTTGAAAACCCTATAATCTATTCTGTTCAAGGCAAGAAATCTCATTTCCAGATAATTAACTTTCTTCCTCATTAGTTACTGGAACTTTTTCTGCAAACAATGGTTCAACTTTAGCTTATATCAGAGCCACTTTATTTATTTATTTTTTTTTTAAATATATTTTTATTGATTTTTTTTTTTTTTTTTACAGAGAGGAAGGGGGAGAGATAGAAAGCTAGAAACGTCGATGAGAGAGAAACATCGACCAGCTGTCTCCTGCACACCCCCTACCGGGGAAGTGCCCACAACCAATGTACATGCCTTTGACCGGAATCGAACCTGGAACTTTCAGTCCGCAGACCGACGCTCTACCACTGAGCCAAACCGGTTTCGGCATATCAGAGCCACTTTAAAAACTGGATAAACTTAAGAGATTGGAAGACCACACCTCTAGAATTTCTGACTGACTGAGGCCTGAGAATTTGCATTTAAGTAAGATGCTGATTCTGGTTAAGAACCACACTTTGCATATCATTGCTCTAAGCATTTATTCTACTCTAAAATGGATTAGATAGAAATATCCATTTACCATTACAAAGGTCTTGTCCTTCCTTCTCTTGGAAAGAATTATCTGTTAATTTAATATGTATATATAACAAACTATATATAGTTTGTTATATATACATATATAATTATGTACATAGCTATGTATTTGTTATATACATAAATCAATCATTTCACCATGATCATTAATTATTGCTAAAGTTTCCCAATTCTAATGTAAGAAATATTCATGACTTTTTGCTAATTTAAAATTGGTCAGTTTAAAAAAATATATTGAGTTAAATTTTACCTTTAAACTATAAGCATTAACTTATTAAGTATTTATATACCGGAATTTATTGGCTTTTCTTATGAAAACAAACTTTTTTCAAGCACAGCAGAATCACATTTACCAAGAACTGATATGCTAATACTACCTAAGTTATCTGTATCACTATTGTAAGTTCCACTAGAGGTTCTATGGGTCACACATTTATTGGTATAGTATAGTTCTCATCTACCTCCTATCCTCACATGCAACTGTGTAATAGAAGGGTGGGTAATAGTAGCAGTTGATAAATTAAGTTATTCCTGCTAAGGAAGGGCAATGATGTCAGTATCCTTCCTTGATCCAATAATAAAACACAGCACAGTCTTTCTCTAATCATCAACAGAAGTAGCCCTTTGTTTAAAAAAAAAAAAAAAAAAAAAAGTGTTTTAAAATATAATTGGCTTAAGGTAAAAATTTCAGACTTACTCTATTAATGGTGCTCCATATAAAACAAAAATTACATGAAAGACGAAACAAGACATAAGAAAGTAGATACAGCATTTCAAAAATCTGGTTACCTTAAAAAAAAAAAGAGAGAATAATTTAAAGACTCAAAAGAATACCTAAAGGACAATACATGTTTTCATTTTATTTACAAACATAACTTATTCCCTTGTGTGAACAGTTGAATGTTCTTTGGATCTGGGTATCCTGAAGTCAGATTACATCTTGTGCAGTCAGGTACATAGCCCTCAATAGAACTCCCCCCACCAAAATACTACTCACCCAACTAGCAATATAGTCAAAAAGCATTTCTGTTTCTATGGTATGTATTGAGCTAAGCTGTTAACCAGTATTTATGAACTATTTACCAATAACAGACTGCTAGAATACAATACAGTCCTTATTATTATGAAATATTTGCTATATTATTCACGAAGACACCTTAATTCCACAATGAATGCCCAACAAGGATCTATCAAATGCTGTAGGCAGCCTTCCAGCAACCAACATTCTCTTTAGTTACTGTAAATAACTCAAGTGAGTACTGGAATAATGCTTTATTTTTCCATAAAACAAAACAAAACAACCACTACCTCTATGTAAAAATCAGTTATCAAGAAATGAGCCTTACCTTGTATGATAATGAACTTCTTTTAGTGGATGCACTTGGTTTCACCACTACATATAATACTAGATTGACAGCAGTTACAAAAACAGAACAGATGCACAACCACGTCAAGTGAGTTTCCAATATTGAGAAGTTCTCCAAGAAGACTGATGGGATGAAGATGCTTAGGATAATTGAGAATATGCATAAGAGATGGGTATATAGTAGTCTCTTGATATCAATATTTTTCATGGTGTTTCCTTGAGTGGCTAATAAAAAAAAAAATTAAGAGCATATGCAATAATGTTTTCCATTGTTCTAAATGTTACAAGACCTAAGAATAATTATGAGCCAAAGTCAATTTTCTAAGTATTAGTTTCAGAATATAGGAAGATGCATATGCATGTATGCTCATGAAGACTAATATAGTAATTAGCTCTCAGAGCCAAAGAAGGACAAATTTTCTAATTTCTTAAATACATGTGACTGGTTTCTGCAAAAGGGTCATGTGCTAGGACCAATTAAGTGATTCCTTTTTTTTTGTGCCAAAATCAGAGATGAGAACAAACTGCGTGGAGTAATGATCTGCACCTGTTGGAAATATAACCTATGCATTCTAGAAACTCCATGAATACACTTTGGCTAAATTGTTGGCTTATTTTTTTTTTTTTTATTTTTTTTTTTAACCATTGTGGGTCCTTATCCCATAACATAGTAGTTCACATCTTCTAACAAATGCCAGGTGATATTAAGTGCACACTTGAATACTCAAACCGTGAATAGTGTAATCAAGAGTTCAAAAAACATTATGCTAAACTAAGGGATCCTAGCGCTCCAGAAATACCAAAATGACAATGTCTGTTATAGGTGTTAAATTCCAATAAAAAATAGAATACAAATGGAAGAAAATAATTTATTCTTTCTACATCACACACACACACACACAAAACACACCTTTATAAATTACCTAGCGGAGAGCTTATACATAGCACAATTGTTAAGTAAAGATCTTACTAAAGTAATAGTCCCTATGTAACTCTGGTTACTCCAGTACATTTTATACACACACAGAAGAGCAAGCACAAAAGGGCAAGCCCATGACTTACCCCAACACCTCTACATTAATTCACGCTGTAATTTTCAAAGGTAAATATTTTACTGATAAGGAAATAGGCTAAAACATGTTAGAGGACACGTGTAAGATCCCAAGCTTCCACGTACTAAGCCATTTCAAATAAAGAATAAAGACACACACCGGGATCGGATTGAGAAGCATACAGATGGCAAGAAGGGAGAAAGGAAAAATTTATCAGAGGTCCAATTCTCAGGGGCGGGGAGCAGATCAGCAATACACTGTCTCCAAAGACATCCCTTCGCAGACTTTTTTCTGGGTCACCCTCAGAACCCCGGCTGGCATGAGCAGATTTGGATGTAACACCTGGAGCAATATCTCAACTCAAATGCTTCCTGAGTCAATGAATGAACGAGGGACCTTTGGAGACACCAGCCCCGTGCTAGGCCCTGGAGAGCGAGCGTGGGACACCCATCAGGCGCCCCAAGGAAAGGCACAGCCTTGGCGTCCGCGGTCACACCTGGTCCGGCTCCGCAGACATTGTGGGGTGAGAGAAGGCCGTTCCCGGAGACTTGGCGGGAATCGCCTGGCCCCACCATGAACTGGGTCGCTTAGGGCTCAGACCAAACCTCAGCCGGCCGGAGTGCGGGCGGCGGGGAGCGAGCTGAAGGGCATAATCAGGAAGCACAGGTGTGGAGACCAGGAGAGGCGGAGAGGCAGCCACAGAAAGCCAGAGGAGCGTCAGAGCGGCCCCTGGGTCACTAGGGCGGGCCGGGGGCACCGAGGCGCGCGGGCATTGGGGCAGTTGGCAGGGCTGCTTGCACCCTAGGGAGGCCCGCGTGCCGGACTGTTGGGCTGGGCTTACCTAACTCTCCCGCCCGCAGCAGGGAAGGGGAAGCTCCCACCTCCCACCATCAGGTGCGGCTCTTCGCGCAGGCGCAAACCTACGGGGCGGAAACCCGAGGCCGCACAGCCAATCGCGGAAGCGGAGGGGCGGGCAAAGGAAGCAGTCCCCGCCTCCCCTCTCAAGTTTCTTCCTCCCTTGGCTTTCCAGGTGTTGGACAGGCGGGCGGAGGGCGGGGCGGCCGGAAGTGGGTTGTGGTAACCCGGAAGGGATATCCTGCCCTGGCTTGTATTGTTGTTTTCCAGCCGCTCCTGCTACTGCGACTAAGGGAAACTATCGCGGAAGGATGGTGTGCGAAAAATGTGAGTTCAGGGGTCCCTTCTGCGGGAGAAGGAAGGTAGGAGAACCTAACTGGAGTTCCCCGGGAACTTTGCCCCTTTTCTTTGGGTTCGGACATAGATCTCTGGTTCTAGTCTCTGTCTTCCGACCTACCCTGCCCTTTGACTACTCCTGCCCCACCCCGACGATCATACTGTCCTATATGTTTTGCATTCCGGATGGCCCCAGTTTTTGTACCTCTTTGTTTGCATTGCTTCCTCTCAACCCAGAGTATCCCATACAGGTTCTTGACTGGTTCCCTCACCCCACAGACCCTCAAGGTTAGAATGAATTTACTTCAGATCTCACTCATATGTGGGATATAATGAACAACATAAACTCCTGAACAAAAATGGATCCGGAGACTCAGAAACACTGAACAGAGAGTTCAACCTCAGAGAGAAGGCAAGGGAAGAGGTGGCTGGGTGGGTAAGAGAAAAGGCAGGGGTGGGGGGATAAGAGATCAACCAAAGGACTTGTATACCTGCATATTAGCATAACCAGTGGACACGGACACTGGGGAGGAGGGGACACTGGGAGAGAGGAAGGAGGGGGAGGGGTTCATGGGGGGGGGGGAAGAGACGGTATGTAATACTTCAAACAATGAAAATAAAAAATAAAAAGGAAGGGAGCAATAACTTGAATACACATTAACAGTTAATTTCACAGGTGGTGATTCTACAGTGCATTAATTTTAATGTATTTTTCAAAATCTTGCATGAAATGTGTAAATAATCCTTACAAATATCTTATCAAATTATTTTGTAGAATCACTTTCTGTGCTTTAAATTATGTGTACAAATATAAGTAGTTCAGATAATTCCGGGCATAGTTTTGATATTACTAGTAGTAAATAACCACACCACTTTAAAAATTTTAAAAAAAATTCTGACAATATTCATTGTATCTGCTACTTTAGACAATTTAGTGAAAACATATCCATTTTAATTGTGGTAAATGCACTGTGTGAGTTCAGAGAAATGAGACATCTTACTTTTTATATTACCTTGTCAGCTAGAGGTAGACAGAGCGATGAGGCATGATGGATTTAGAATTGAGTAAGAACTGGAATCTACCAGGAATCAGTTGTGGTCTGGAGGCAAAATTCAACAGTGAGGATGTTTCCCATTTAGACAATAACCAACATGAAAAGTACTTGGCACCTGGCACTTGACTGGAAGAGAAAATTCGGTGGTCCTCAGAAAAACAGTGATACAGTTTGGCATTAAGACAAAGCTTCTTCTCACTGTTTTTGCCGTGGCAAGGAAAATGTGGTGTCAGTGAGGATGGGAGAGTCTTCCTGGTTGCCATTTCAGTTGATTTTTCCAAACTCTTAAGGTGTTTCAGACATTAAGCAATATTCTACACACAATCCCAGATATCCTACTTACCCCATACATTTTCTACAGTATTCTGTTGGTTAAGGTTCTTTGTGTTTCAATTAACAGAATCTAATTATAGCTCTTTAACTAAAAAGGATATTTGGATACTGAGCATTTCACAGAAACCAAGAAGGAATGACATAGCAGAAATTAAGACAATTCTACGGTCTCATGAATCTGCTTCCTAGAGCACTGCCATTAACAGGACCCACCCACCAACCTGTTCTGGTCGCTATATCTTCCATTTCACATATTTTAGAGAAGCATCTCTCATTTGTCTAGCTCTGATTATAGGTTTTTCTCTAAGCTATTCAGTGGATTATTCAGGGAGAAGGTTAAATATTGCAAAAAATATTACTAAGAGCTTGTCCTGATGGAAAGAGTGGCCAGTTTCCAGTAGTTATGCCTCCCACAGACCTTGCAGCCTCTGATCTGAAGTCTCAAATGAACCATAGTTTTCAGATAATATTATAATATTAGGATTGCATCTGAGCCTAAGAAATTTAGAAACTCTTCTACCAAAGGAGTTATAAAGTCTTATTGGTATACCAACAGTAAGGCTAGGTCTTGAAAATAAAAGTACCGTTGTTTTTACAAAAATGGAACCAAATGTCACAGTAAAGATTTAAAAATAAAAATAAAAACTCGTTAAATTTTCTCACTGTTATTAAAATATTCACCAAATAAAAAAAGTTATTTCAACATTTGCCAGATTTAAGTAAATAAAAAAATACCGATTCCTAATTAAATTTGAATTTCAGGCAAACAACGACTAATTTTGAGTATAAGTATATTCCATGCAATGTTTATGACTTAGTTCTGTTTGCTGCTCCTTACTGCTGTGAGGAGTTCTTTGTCCCAAAGCACTTACTTACAGGACATTCTTTCCAAAAATAAGTATTCCTTGTGTATCTGAAATTTAGTTAACTGGGCATTCTGTATTTTATCTGACAACTGGAAGTCAGTATCCCACCCAATGGCTTTGGCGCTTTTTTCAAGAATACCTACAGTATTGAGGCAAGCTGGCAGGAGATTCTCACCGTTTTCAAAGCAGTCTGTGTAGACTTCACTCACTGGCTTTTAAGATCTTTCCTCCCTATAGTTGCCACCCCGGGATTCTAATGCCAATCTAGAAGATACCTTATTTTTGACCTCACAAACTGTCTGTATGTTTAAAAATAACTGTCATATGCCCAAGCCTCTTTTTCCCCAAGCTAGACATACCTGACTCTTCTGTGACAGGGTCTCAAGTCCTCTTATATCTAATTAACATAATCCATTTTGTTTATATATCCCCATTGCCACATACTCTCTCTAACATCTTTCCCACAGAGCTTTCCTGGATTTCCCTAGCCAAGGTTGTTTCTTTCTCCATGGAATTTCTCCTATATATTACTCTCAAATTGTTTTAGCTCTCAATTTTTATACTTTTTTAAAACTCATATTTTAATTGTTAACTTTTTTTCTTTGTTGTTTCTCTGAACCCTTTGAAAATCTGATGAAAGCTATAGACTCTTATCAGAATCTATAAATACAGGGAATATACAAAAGGTTTGTGTATAATTTCATCTAGTTC